TCCTTGAGGTCCCTTCCAACCCTGGCAATTCTGTGATTCTGTGAGAAAAGCACCACTTGATTTAATATTTACTGTATTACTAAAAGGGATTTTACAGAAAAAGAATGTTATGAAAACAGTATTATAACCCAATGTGTAGATCGTGTTCTGTGTAACAATGGGTGACTCTACGTCAGTGAAGGCTGGGAACACCCTGAAGGAGATCTCCTGTGCATGCACACGTCAGAGAGGTCTGCAGAGCTTGAAAGCTTCCAGGGACCAGGCTGGAAGGTGCTGAACTTGTTCACCTTTAGTGAACATTGATTTCTTACACTCCAAACTACAACAAAATGGTTTCATTTTGTCACTTCCTATGACAGAAAAAAGATATTATTTAGCAGACAAAGAACCTGTCTTCTGGATTTAGAAGATGGTTATCACAGATGTCAGTCTGATGGAGAAGGAAGCTCGTGCTGCTTTAGAACAAGTTGTTGCTTGAGATTTTCTCAAGTTACGTTTTTTCTGTCAGGGAATCTTCCTTAAAAGGACCATCAGCTTACAGATGCATCTGAAATTCAAAAGCTTGTTGAGAGATCTTCTGAAATATGGTATAAGGAATGTGCCATGGCTCCCAAACTTCTCATGAAGAAAACAACTCCCAGTACTGGGAGCCAGGAGTTGGAATCCGTGATTCTTTGATCCTTATGGGCCCCTTCCAGCTTGGGATACTTTACTATTTAAACTATTCTACACACATTGACAGCAGCTACATTTGAACCCACAGTGCTGGGATCTTCTAAGGCTGCTGCATTTGTTCCCAAGTGGCCCATCTGCACGCAGTGTTACGAGTGGAGCTGATTCTAGAAGGAATGCACCAGTCTGGCACTGAGTGTCACCCCAGAAGTTCACGATGTTAAACAAAGATAACAGAGGAGGCAAACAGAGGATGTTCACTTCCTCCTCTTCTCCACTCCCAAAACATGCCATCAGTCAATGAAACATTTAAATCAGCCAAACTCCTCCGCCTAAGTGTACAGTATTGCCCTTTCCAAACAGAAATGTCAGACTCTGCAATGACTAAAGATGACTCACAACCAAAATCTCAGTTCTTAACACTCAGATGAAATCAAGGTTTGAATTTTGCATGTAAACGTTTCCCTTCAGAAGTACATAAACATATATTTTTGACTGTACTTTTAAATCACGGGTATCCGACCTGTTGGCTCACCTGGGCCATG